CACACAGATAGTGGAAACTACTGGACACTATATATAACAACCTACAAGTTCCTGAATATCACCCGACCGAGGGGAAATCGAACCCCTGATTCTAGCGTTGTAAATCCGTAGACTTAGCGCTGTCCCACCGGGGGACCGCCATTTGTTAAACGGGCTTTTCATTAGTTGCGGCCCTAAAGTCCAAATACAGAAGCAACATGAATGCTGAACTTGAGAGTTTTGGCGGTTTTTAGGCCTATAAACATAATTATGTATAAACTTATATTAAGTTGGGGTGAGAAAATAAATCTTGAAACATCTTCATCCAACAACAACAACAAAAAAAACAAAACAAAAAAAAACGTTTCAACAAAACCTACCTTTACAACAGCACGGTTACATTCTTTGGATGATTAGAAAACACTTAAATTCCAAGTTAGCGGAAACGTTGCGGAAACAGGAAGAAGGTATCTGTATACATAATGTTCCACGTTTCTCTTCCCGGAACCTCAGAGAGTCGCGTGGAACACTTCTTAGACAAACGAAGGATCACAATATATACTGATATTAGCCAGCCGTCTTTCTTGTCGTTTGTTTATTCAAATATCCGAAACAAACGAGCGACATTTCAGCCTGTATAGAGCACATGCGCACACAACATCACCTCCTAGTGTTGCAATTTTTCCTAACTTGTAGTTATTTTGCGCGCGGTTCTTCCCTTTGTTTTTTTTTTACTTATTCTACATTATTAATATTCACTACCAATTCGTAGTTTCTCTTCATTTTAGCCCCCCCCCCCCAGTGCCACAGCGGAATATTGTTGTTATTGTTGTTGAATTTCTCTCAAAACTACAAAATGATATCTGTGTCAGCCGTTCCAAATTTGGAAATGATACATTAGAGGGAAGAAAAGTAGTCAATTCCACCCAGTGGCACAGCGGTATGTCTGCGGACTTACAACGCTAGAATCCGGGTTTCGATACTCGTGGTGGGCAGAGCACAGATAGCCCATTGTGTAGCTTTGTGCTTAACTTCAAATAAACACATGGCCCCCAGTGGCAGAGCGATATGTCTGCGGACTTATAACGCTACAATCCGGGTTTCTATACCCGTGGTGGGCAGAGCACAGATAGCCCATTGTGTAGCTCCACCCACCACCAACTCTTGGGCTACTCTAATCGAATAATGCGGACCGTGATTTTTTATTTTATTAACAGAACACTAATTCCGGATGTCGGATCAATAGTCCGACACATTAACCACTAGGCGGCGCTGTCGATATACCAGACGGTCAGATAAATTTTAACTGTATATGTATATATATATATATATACATATATTTACTAATGTCTGATTTCTATTTTATGCTTTTGTTCGTATCTAAAAATTTACAAAAGAGTTTGCTCAAAAGTTTTTGGGAATATTTGAAAGATTGAAGGTTAGTAACTTGAATAAAAAAAGCTTGATTAATATGCACAGTTAATCATTATAAGGATGGTTAAAAATAACAGAAGCAAGATATATATTATGCTTATTAACCGAGTAATTATAAAAAAAAATCAAGAGAAGCGTAATTCAAAGTAATTGATATTCCGATCAGATCAATTTATCGACATAAAAATCAACTCTTTATTAACTATAGCTAATTAAATATACTGTTCTTACGTTCTTCCTTATAAAGGTTTCATCGTTGGGTACCCTTGCTGTTAACTATATTTTCGGCCGTAAACCCAATAATATCTGACAAGATTTGGACAGCAGAGGATACTTAGGTTAGTCCTAAATCCATATACCAAGTTAACAATGCAAAATAATCCTCTTAATATAATAATAATAAAATTAAACATCATCCTGACAGCTATTGTATAAATAACAGTTTAACTAATCTAGAATATATCATTTACTACCTTTTAAAACCATACATTATACCATACAGTTTTCAAGTATTATAAGTATATAAGAGTAGACAGAAAATCCATAAGACATAACGTTTCACAAACAAATGATCAATATATTCCGTAAAGTTTCAGATACATGTTAGCCAACCATGCCAAAATATCAAGAATACATTTCTTTTTGACAATTTTAAACTGTTTCTTTATTTGGTACGATTGTTATACTCTAGCGCTACCTACAGGCACTGAAATGAATTAAAATGGAGTGAAAATTTAATTTTTATGTAAAACTGTTTCGAGAATTTCTAGCGGTTTACATTAGTACATTGAAATGATTTATAAGATCAAATAATTTCTTTCGTAAAATATGTGTAACAAGCTACGCGCTATAAAGGCAATATGTATTCTTGGAATCTTAAACACGTTTTTTTTTGAAGTATTGACTATCGACTATAAATAAAGGGAGGGGGGGCATGGCATGGTTTGGTGTTTAGGGCACTCGACCTTGCAATCTATTGGCCGCAGGTTCGAATTTCGTCACCGAAAATGTTCGTTTTTTCAGTCATGAGGGCGTTATAAAGTGTCGGTCAATCCCACTATCCATTGGTAAAAAAGAGCCCACGAATTGGCGGTGGGTGGTGTTGACTAGCTGTCTTCTCGATAGATACGGCTAGTGCAGATAGCCCTCGAGTAGCTTTGTGTGAAATTCAACAAACAAACAATGAAACAAAACAATAAATTAAGTTTCTGTAAATCACTGACACCGGATCAGATCTTTACTGGCAGAATTTAAAAACGATCACGACAGCTAACACAGCACGAGAACAATGTTAATAGTATTCGTTTCCATTTATACACGACGTTCGGTTGTAATGGGGGTGGTGTGTTGTTTAACAAAAAATGTTGAATAGATATCGTTTATTATATTATTACGGATGTGTTATCACATTTACTGCTCTTGTAAATCTTCGTTGTGGAAGGGCCCGGCATGGCCAGGTGGTTAGGGCATTTGACTCGCAATCTGAGTGTCGCGGGTTCGAATCCTCGTCCCACCAAACATGCTCGCCCTTTAGCCGTGCTGGCGTTACTTGTTACGATCAATCCCACTAATCGTTGGAAAAAGAGTAGCCCAAGAGTTGGCGGTGGGTGGTGATGACTATCTACCTTCCCTGTAGTCTTTCACTGCTAAATTAGGGACGGCTAGCGCAGATAGCCCTCGTGTAGCTTTGCGCGAAATTAAAAACAAACAAACAAACAAATCGTTGTGGAACTGGCAGTTCAACTCTTCTGTCTCTAGCAGTAGTAGAACAGGTTCAATGAAACAGTAGTAAACTTTAGTCGCCAAACATATTCACCCTATCAGCCGTGAGGGTGTTATACAGTTACGGTCGATCCTACAATTCCTTGGTAAAGAGTAACCCAAGAATTGACGGTGGATGCTGGACCAGAAACTAAAACATTAAAAACTTAAAGGTAAGATGAATAAAACGAACTGTTGTTTTTTATTTTATATTTAGCTTTCAGGGGGTTTCTCACTTCAAGTAAAATTGTAGAGTTAAGGTTATGTTTGTTTAATTTGTATGCATCGCCCAGTAACTATTTTTGTGTCTTGGTTTGCAGTTTTCTCGAGTATTTTATAAATATTATGATTATTTTATTATTCAAAATTAATTGAAGCAACTTAATGTTCACGTGACTGAAGAGGAAGCAGGAGGAAAGTTAAGTTGGTTTTGGACATATTTTCAAAGTCTGAGTTGCTTATATTTCTAACCGAAATCTAGCAACCCCAAATTAACTTCAATAAAGAGGTAACGTTAAGGAAAGTTTTTAAAACACAGAACGAAAATTTATTTCCTTGAACAAACAAAACTCTCCACTCGAGTGAGTAAATTCAACTTCTGTTTCTAAGTTTAATTATTTAGTTACATGTTACGTTAGCAAGACTACTGAATAGTTTGTAAAACGAAATTTTAATGTCAAAGTTTGAGGCTAATATTTTAGTTGTATTACTAACTTAGGCTAATTGTTAATACTAATTAACCTAACCTGAGTTGAGAAGAAATAGAAATTATGGATTTTCTTTCCCCACAAATTGATTTATTCAGCGGAACTCGGTCCATGTTTTGGAAATTATATGTTTCAAGTCTGCTTTGGTCAAGTTTGGACTTCATCAGTTCATGCCTAATCGTGTCAAAGCTAATTAACTTATCCTTTATGTCGGGACATATTACATTATAATACTTATAACATACTCTTAGAAACAAGCTAATATTTTAATGTTAAATAAAGAAGGAAAACCAGTCATACAAACCAGAAAAATTACATTTTACAGAACATGTATTTAATTAGGCTTACATTTACAAGTTAGGAATGGTATTATTATTAGTATTGGTACTACTACTAACTGATACTAGTACTAGTGATAGAGTACTGAGTACTAATTGTTTTTGGAATTAAATAATATAGTGACAGAAATTCAAAACGGTTTTAGTAAATTTAGACAAATAATAAATCATCTAATTTAGACTTGCATAAACTATAAATATTCAACAAAATTCACTGAAAAGTAGTGTGTTTTCATGGCACAGGTAAAGCTAGTGGGAACAACTGAATGGTATTATACATTGGCTATCCAGCTTTATGGAAATATAAAGATGTTTAGAGTAAATTACTACTGAGGCACTAGTCCCAAAGGTGTGAGGTTGTTAGTCCTATCTTATTTATCACACGTGTGAACAGCATGGCTTTTTTATTCTTTAATAAAAATTACTGTTTGTGTACACAATAGTGTGATGTGACTATCCAGAAAGGTCCCGTAGATAATAATTACTATTGCACAGACTTCAACTTTTATTGAATTCAAATGAAGAATGGTACAAAAAATACATGATGAAAATAAATGCACAGAAATAAGATTACCTGAGTAACCACACAAATAATATAAAAAAATAGTCTGGAGGAAAGTATACTATATAAAATTAAAAAGTTTATCTGACAACAGAAATTTGTAAATCATGTATTAATGTTTGAGTATCCAGGTCCAGCGTGACATAAAAGTGTCAAATTCAACAGAGTTTAATTACAAACTATCCAAAATTTAAACCTTTACACAGCTGACACAGTACCTAGACTGTCGTGTATATTACCAGTTATATTTTTTCAATATTCAGTTAACTACTTCAGAAAAATATGTGAAGAAAACTCGTCTCTTATGTGACCATTGAAAGTTTTGTTGTAGGTGTTAACAGTAGGGTTGGATACTTTGTCCTTCATTATTAATTATTCTAACTCTCAGTAACAATGAATGAAGTTTATTAATTGTTTAAAATTTGACCGTTTGTGTTAGATACGGATATTAATATAAAAGTAGACTTATAACAAGATTTTAACACGTTGTGTAAGAGCAGAGATGAGTCGTGGATATTCATGTTAATAGCTGTGTGATACCCATAAAACTCTAATATGTATTTCATTTCTCATCATCGGCTGTATGGGTGTTCCTACATTAGTCCGGAGTTGTATCCTACTTCATTATTCCTCCTGTACTTTATTAGCTTATAATCATTAAGTTACTCCTGATTTTAGGCTCTGGATATTCTTTGAACTTTTAACAGATGTTAACTTTCTGCTGTTTTTTTTCTATTTGGATTTTTTATTAAATATTTAACAAATGAACACACAAAAATAGTGCTATATTTTTAAGGAATTTTATAAATTCTCATTGATAATGCGGTGAAGTTACAGTGGATTAATTAATGTTAAATGTTGTGTTCATCAGGGTTTTATGCTAGGTTAGTTGCCATTTCTCATTGTCATTAATAATGGTGATAATGTAAGAAGTAGTTAAATTTGCAGATGATGTTAAAGCAATGAGTATTTCATATTGTACTGACAGTGTTGTACTGACTGGTTTTACACGTAGAATATTCTTTTTAATCTTAATAAAAGTAAGTTTGGACATATGATGCTTGGAGACGGCTCAAATGGGTAATGAAGAAAAACTCTAATATAAGTTTAACATAACAGCAAATGTTCAACGTTTCAACAAGGTTTTGTCATCATCAGGTACAAGTAGTTTACATTGTACCTTGTACTTGTACCTAATGATGACAGAACCTTGTTGAAACGTTGTACATTTGCTGTTATGTTAAACTTATATTAAAGTTTTTCTTCATTACCCATTCGAACCGTCTCCAGCCATTATTAGTCTCAAAGTTGGTTCCTCGTCATCGAGTTTAAGTTTGGACATATCGGTTATTGCAGCACTAATTATTCTGTAGCTTGCTGGGAAAAATAAGTTAACGAAGAAAATAATCTGGGCATAGATAGCTATTTGAAAATCTCTAAAGCATTGTAGACGGTATGTTAGCTAGTAATTAAGCAAATAACCCTTGAGTAGCTTTGTACCAAATTTAATAAACAAAGTTGGACAGAATTTTAAGATAGTATGCATAGAAATATTTAGTAAAATTTAAAGGAGGAAATCGTATCACTGTATAGATGCTGGTTAGATTAATTAATATAATCCATTGGGCATTGATTACATCAACTAGTGTCATATAAAAAAAGAATCATGTTTCTGCTGATTGCTTTATTTCTATTATTCCAACTATTCAAGTATTTGAAATATTGCCTTTATTATTCATTATTATTATTACTTTTTTTGAATAATTCAAGTCTGTTCTAATTTGGGGCATGATTACTGATTATTGTGATATCAGATTTATGGATTTGGTTCTATTTCCACCACCTATGATTGCCCTTTCAGCCAAGAAAGCTTTATATTTGTTTTTGGGTTATGGTAAAGCTACTAAGGCTATCTGCATTGTACTTAATTTTGAACTGCCAACCAGAGGGAAGGTAATTGGCAAAATACAAAGATTAAGCAACAAAAGGTTGTGAAACTAAGGAATAGAGTATAAATATTACATAAATTGAGAATAACTAGTTATAATAAAGCTGATCTATACATGGCTATTGGTACAGTTTTCCTAGCTACACAGTTTGTTTCACAGGAGTCTAACTCCATCTGGATGTTGAAGATGACATTTCTTAGTTGTTGCTTTGACTCTACAGGAGAGAGAGAGAGATTCTGCTTGTACCGTTGTGATAAAGACATTTCTGTCGTAAGGTGCGACTTCAGTATTTGTAGCCAGTAAACGTGATATTCTTTTATTCTCATTCGAATATATTTATTTCTAGAGATGACATCAGTATCTAGTAGTTGTGTTATAGAAGAATGCTTTATGAATCTTATTGATGAAAATGTCCCACATTTGTAGGGGTCAAATTACCATTACCAGTGTTACTTTATTTCTACATTTTTAAATTTAATGTTCATATTTAATCTCTGTACAAATTGTATTGGTTAAATGACTCTGAAAAGGTACGGATTTTTTTTGTTACTAATCCTGAACATCTTCATTTATAGAAAATGGTCTTGTGAGTCAGAGATCCTCGTGTCATTTCGTTACCAGTAATCGTGTTACTGGGAGTCAGTGTGCAGCACTTGTTACTTTAGTGCATGTATAAGAGGCAGTACCATATTAGTGGAGATGAGTCACTCTAATATATATTCCTAACCTAGAGAATATACACCAGAGCTGGATCTTTACTCCACACATCATAAACTCTATTTTCAGTTTGATGATGATCATGTGTGTGTGTGTACAGTTAGTGTACATTCAGTGTCCACATATCATACAGTCTATCTTCAGTTCAATGTCCATGTGTGTACACATTTAGTGTACGTTTGGTATGAGTGACTGCAGGTACTCAGGCAATTGTGGAAACTCCAAAGCTGTGTCAACTTCATTGTCTTTGGTAAAGATAGGCTCTTAGCAGTTGTAATTAACACTGTTGTCCCTCTAGAAGGAACCTATAGGTTGTTATATACAGTGTCCAGTAGTTTCCACTATTCTGTTGGACACAGTAGATAGCCTGATGTGGCTTTGCTATAGAACACACAAAAATGCAAATTGCGTCAGAAAACAAACTACTTTCTCTGCGGGTTCTGGATACTCCTTAAGTGAATTTCTTTTAACCTCTGACCTAAATGTTGCGTCGCAAGAAAGCTCCAACAAGCGCTCTTCTTTCTCAGATGTTGTTTGTTATTAAGCACAAAGCTACACAAAGGGCTATCCGTTCTCTGCCCACCACGGGTATCGAAACCCGGTTTCCAGCAGTATAAGTCCGTAGACATACCGCTGTGCCACTGTGGGGCTTTCTTTCTCAGAGAAACCAGTAAGTTGGTCATTATTTTGTAATGCACGAAAACTCCAAAATATAGAATATATTTTCCACTTTAACTTATAACCCATATAACGTGTTCCCACTTTAACTTATAAGCCATATAACGTGTTCCCACTTTAACTTATAACCCATATAACGTGTTCCCACTTTAACTTATAACCCATATAACGTGTTCCCACTTTAACATATAACCCATATAACGTGTTCCCACTTTCACTTATAACCCATATAACGTGTTCCCACTTTAACTTATAACCCATATAACGTTTTCCCACTTTAACTTATAACCCATATAACGTGTTCCCACTTTAACTTATAACCCATATAACGTTTTCCCACTTTAACTTATAACCCATATAACGTGTTCCCACTTTAACTTATAACCCATATAACGTTTTCCCACTTTAACTTATAACCCATATAACGT